CTTGTTACTGGTACATTTTAAAGAGTCTTTATTTATCCAGCGCGCTGAGTTGATGAGAATAAATGTGAAAGATTTACTCGATTTCTCACTTATTCAAATTATATACATATTCAATTCGCCAGATCACGATAAGCGCATTATTTTTGCAGTGAACTGATTTTTTTGATAATCTTAATTGCCGTTTGCTACTCATATTTAATTATGCTTTAAGCGCATATCTATATTTTCTCGAATATAAATAAATAAAATATGAGTACTTTACTTTTCAGTGGTCACAACACTTTCATTTAGTCTTTACCTTTTTCAATATTTCAGTTCAATTTATAATCATGCCCTGCCCTGCCCTGAGACAGGGCAAGGCAGGGCAGAGCAGGGCAGGATATAGCTGGTCGCAGGCCAGAGCAGGGCAGGATATAGCAGGGCGCAGGACAGGGCAGGGCAGGATATAGCAGGGCGCAGGACAGGGCAGGGCACAGGGCAGGACAGGGCAAAAAAGTTGCCCTGTGACGGTCTCGGATACCGTCAAAGTTTGAAGTCTCTAGCTTTTACTATCGATGAGAACTCTTAGCAATATTGTCATGTACTATTTTTACGATTTAATAGTAGCGAAAATTCGCTATAAGAATGCTAGAAAAAGTGTTGTTTCCAGGGTCTGTTTTGGCAGCACGTGTCAAAGCATAATTTCTTTCTTTTAAAGAATACTCTTTGAACCCATCGATAAACACAATAGCCAAGTGACTTTTTTCATGAAACCACTCTTGTTCGATCATTCGCGCAAAACTGGATATACATTTTCTAGCTAGCCTCTGAAGTGTTGTGGTTTTTGAGAAAATTAATTTCGTTTTAAAGTGATACCATCATTATGTACTTCGCAAGCAATTGTGTGATTTTGTAAACGTCGTGCAATTTGCCAAATTCCATTGCATAGGGTGTGGTGTGATTGCTCATGAGAAAAATATCAGCACCCAACATCCCCAGCTACAATAGAAAAAAATCTGGGCATCTCAAGCACATCATGATCGCTCTTCTTTTGCAATCTTTGGTGCACAAGATTGATTGATTGCCATCGTCGTGATGTGAATAGTTACAAGAGTTGGCAAATGCTGGCGAATGAAATGAAAATAAGCAAAAAACGACGCGTTTTATGTTACGCAAATAAGGGATTCATATTGGAGATTTATTTTAAAAAAAGAATCCAAACTATCAGGAAGAAAAAACATTCTGGTTGAAATAAACTGCTTACAGTAGACAATCTAACTACTCGATACATTAAGAGATCAAGCATTTCTGTTTTGCTAAACTTCCAATAGATATATTGTATAATGCTCAGAAATTTCTTCAGTTATATTTATTGTTACAATTTTTTATTCCTAAAAGTATTGTTCGAAATTGAAAGCATCAGTAAACTCGAAGACGAGTTGTCTGGTTGATTTTTTCAAAGTTTTGGTTCCTTTCGTTTGCAGCTGGGGAACATTGATTTTTGCCTCTTTCTATTCTTGTTTGTTGTTTTCTTCAAATTCTTTTCAAAGAAGTACTCTATTGAGAAGCATCTAGCATATCAATAGGAAAACATGTACGAATGTCATAGGCGGCAAAAAGTAAATAAAAAAACTCCTGATTCTCTAAAGAAATTATTATCATATGAAATAGAGAAATCAACACAGTTAATAGTATGTGAATGTTTTTCAAAACAATTTGTTTCTATCTAAACAGAAATGAGAAAAACGAAAAGAATTTTGTTATCAAATGAATATAGACATCAAATATATTCTTATTTTTCAGATAATGAATAAACACTTTAAGATCATCGACATATTAGATATATTTTATATAAAATTATGATGAAGTATTTCCTATAATCAAACGATACCCATAAAGAAAGATCTATCTATGGGTGTATATGCGAAATAAGCACATCCACATTCTCAAGATAGATAGGTTTTTACTTTTATGTTCTCGATATTTCTCTTGGAATTTGTTCACACCCTCAAATATACGTATATATATCTATGTCATTTTAGCAGATGTCACTCAATATCAATACAGTGCTTCATGAGCGGTTAGGTGCACAATAAATATGGCGAAGATGAAAGAAAAGATATATTTATTATTTAGACATGATTCAGAACGAACAAGAATGAAAAAAGGTTCGGTGTTTGCTAATAAGAAAGGTCCTTTAGGAAACGGATTTGGCACACCAATTAATAGCTCATCTACATCATCCTCTCTTTTTGATAATAGTCTTCAACAACAGCACCCATTAGGATCTGGTCGAAATTGGCAAGCAACACCAACCAATACACGTCGATTACCACCTCCTCTTCATCATCATCTACATTCGTCGAATTCATCAACAAGTATACGAGCATATACGATGGCTCCTACTACTATTCTCAGTACAAATACGCCTAATACGAGTAGAGTCAAACCATATACAATGCAAAGTCTTGTAGAAACTCTCAATGAAGTAAAGAACAATAGTCTTCTCTGTTTTCTTCTTCATTTTTGTCTCTTACACCTTTAGTTACTTGCTGAACTTGCTATTCCTCATTCGATGCGTTATGAAACAAAATATGGTTTTGAAGATATTCTTACTGTTCTCGATGTATGTCGCGTATTTTGTTTTGAATTTCATCTATACATAATTGTTTCTCTATAAACAGCATCTAACAAATCCATCTCGGTATGAAAATCAACGTTTTCAACCATATCCACCTGCACCTCAACCAATAAAACCAGGCGGAAAAGTTTCATTGACAGATCGCTGGGCATATCTAAAACATGTTCTACTGACATATCGTCTTTCGACTGTTGAACAACTCACACGGATTAAACCAGAACGTTCAATGTCAACTGAAAATATTATGATTATGATTGAATTATTAATTCAATTAACAAAATGTATTATTAAAAGTGAACAAGAACAAGAACGTATATTAGGAAATAATTATTTAAGAGAATTTAAATTATTAATGCGTCAAATGTTTTGGATTGGCCGACATGATCCAGCTGTGATGGAAGAATCTATGTATGAATTAAGACATCATATTTATGCTAAAGATAATCTTGAAATAGTTGATAAATTAAAACATGAAACACAAATGAATGAAATGGCTATGGAGCGTGATCAACTTAAACAACAAGTAGAACTTTTTTGTTTGTGTTTTTAAATCTGAACTGTTCGAATATTTAGTATGAAATATTAAAATCAAATCGTAATGAGCTTGAACATGAATCTTCGATGTTAACAGCATCAAATGAAAATGATCTTATTGAGTTTAGAAAAAAACAAGAAGAAATATCAGACGAACAAGCTAAACTACTTGAATTAACGCAAATTGTTGAACAAAAAGGTTAGAGAATGATTTGCTTTTTTAAATCCAGTCATGTTTATGTTCGTTACGAACTTTTAGAAATGGATAAAAAACATTTAACTGATCGTAATCAATCATTATCAGATCGACTTTTTTCTCAACAAACCGATGCTGAATTACAACGGCATATTCGTTCGAATGGTGAACTTAAACAACAACATGAAGTTCTACTGTCTACATTACTTCTTGAACAACAATTACACTCAACAGCAACTAATGAGCATAAACGATTTGTCAAAGAAGTACGTTTGACTTCTTCAAATCTCAGGAAGCTAAAATTGATTCTGTCTTTTAGTTACAAGAATCACTTGCTAAATATCAAACATTACTTAGTACATATAAACATAAAGCACCTCGACCACCACCGCCTACTGTTGATTTTTATTTGAGTGATATTATTGGTGATACAACATCGATTGTAGATAATGACTCGGTAAAGCAAGCTCAAATAGCAATTGAAAATTTAACAAAAGAAATCCTGGCTCAAGAAATTTTATTGACTCAACGTCATCGAGATCTTGAACAGGAGTCAAAAAAAGTAATTGAACTGTTTTGATTTTTTTTAATGACGGTAGAAAATGATTCTCTTTAGAAAATTGAAGAACTCCAATCAGCTGAACGTGAATGGAAATCAGCAACTAAAAATGGTCAACGACGAGCAGCCCAACAGAATGAATTAAGTCGTTTTCAACAAGAAATCCGTCTTGTACGCACAAAAATTCTTGAAATTGAACGAAAAATTGAAGAAAAGAAAAGTTCAACAATTGAACTAAAAAAAGATTTCGAACAGGTGATTTCTTTTCCTCTCTAAAAAAATTCAATTCTATCATTATTTTCATATTTAGATAAAATCAGGCATTATTGAGCTTGTATCCCGTTTCGAATTCTTAGAAACAAATTATTTGAATAAAGAAGAAGAACTTCGAGGTGAATTATCATGGTTTCTATTCGATCAAACGCAATTAGCAAAAACATTTCGACGTGATATTGACGACTTGAAACGTATACAACAAGAGCATATGTGCAAATTAGATACAAATTTACTAGCATCATCTTTCAATGATCTTATGCAACAACAAGTCAATAAATATTATCATTATAGACATTTAGAAGATGATGACGACGATGAAGATGAAGAACCAGAATTTGTTAATAAATTCAATCAAATACATGACGAACATGTTTCATGGTTGAAAAAGAAAAAGAAAAACGCAAAGATTACAACGTCAATAGTCGAACGATTTCGTATGTTATATAATCATCTACGTTTTATTCTTACGTGTTCTTTTTGTTTAGACGAACTCTATGATCACGTGCACGTGCTTGATAAGAACTGATTTTTTTTCTCCTATAGTCAAATATTTACCTATTTTATACACTCTCTAATCTCTCTTTTTTGTTTACATATTTTCAGTAACTTTGTCAGATAATTTTATTTATTTCGTATATTATTTTCTTCGCGAGTTTTAGAGTGTATGAGTACATTAAATTTTGTAGTTGTGACAGGTATTTCAACGTCTAATTAAATCGAACGAATAATTGAATGTAAATATTTCAGTGAGTACCACTTGTTATGATGATCCAACGAAAGATCGTTCAGGACCAGCACTTATTAAATATCTGACAGATAAATCCAATGGAAAGTATGTTTCTTCGAACGATTAAAATTAACGATTCTATTACTCTGTTCAGTATTCAATGGATACATCTCGCCTCGACAGTTGTTCCTGACAAGCAGACACATCTCAAAGTCTTTATCTTTTAAATGTTAAGTTGATCTGATTTATGTTTTTCATCTAGGAAACATTGTTGAAATTGTGTGATGAATTACAACCAAATTTAATATTGACAACTGGTGGAACGGGAATCAGCCCCGATGATATTACACCAGAAGTATGTGTGTTTGTTCTTTTTATTTTATTTAATTGACTCACTTTTGCTTTAGGCGACACGTGAAGTTATTACGAAGGAAATTCCTGGTCTAGCACAAACAATGATTGCGAAGTCATTAGCAATTACTCACATGGCAATGCTTTCGAGGTGATATTTATTCGAAAGATTTTATATTTACATTCATTCTGTCTAGACCAGTATGTGGCGTTTATCAACAAACATTAATCATCAATCTACCCGGTAGTATTAAAGGATGTGTAGTGCGTATTAGACTTTCGTATATGAGCTGAGTTATATTTCTTTCCGTTGAAGGAATGCTTGGATTTCGTTTATCCAGTTTTACGACATGCAACAGATTTGATTCAAAATCGACGTGTTGAAGTAGCTATGATTCATTCTACTATGCAACCAAAAGTTAGATAATTGATCCATTGTCTACAGTATGAATAACATTGGAAAATTTTGTCTTTTTTTTTCTAGACAAATAGAAAACATCATTCATGTGGTGAACATCACCATCATCAGCATGGTATAGATTATAGACATGAATGATGTTTTAAAATCGAATTTTATTAATTTTAGTGGAGTCAACGATGAAAGGTGAACGATTACGTCAATCTCCATTTCCGATGATATCTATGGATGATGCAATGAAGATTATTTTTGAACAAGCCTATAAAATGTCAATAATTGATAAGCCTCTGACTGGTAATAGTAATCAATAATTTTGAAATAAATTCAATTGTTCTTTTAGAATGTTTAAATTATATATGTGCTGAAGATATCTATGCTAAAGAACCATTTCCACCTTTTCGAGCATCGATTAAAGATGGTTATGCTATTCGACTGTATTCTGATCGATCTCATGAACAAATCTATGAAGTTATTGGACGTTCAGATGCAGGAGGAGACGATGTAAGTCAGAAAACAATATTGAATTATATTGTTTGAATTCTCAAACTCTTTTAACTTAGATTAATACACCACTTATCGAAGGTCAATGTGTAGTGATTAATACCGGTGCTAAATTACCCGATACTGCTAATGCTGTTATTCAAATTGAAGATACACAAGTTCATGAACGACATGCAACTAAACAGAATGGGTTAGATGAGAAAAGTATTCGTATTGTTTCTGACTGTTCATTGAATCAAGATATTAGGTATGTATATAATTTGCATTTTGTAAAAATATCTTAGGTATATTTATGTGCTGTTTAGAGATATTGGTGATGATGTTCAGATGGGTGAACTTGTTCTACAAAAGAACGTTCCTTTGGGACCTGCTGAACTAGGTTTACTTGTTACAGTTGGACTACAAACAATACATGTTTATGATAAACCACGTGTAGTCGTTCTCTCAACTGGCAATGAAGTTCGTTGAGAAAATGAATGTTTCCTATTGCATCTGTTTAATAAATTTTTAGTTAATGCCAATTGATGCTCCATCAACTGCGAGTGGGAAAATTCGCGATAGTAATAAAATCATGCTGATGAGTGCATTAAAAGATTTAAATATACAACATGCTATTGACGGTGGTACAGCAAAAGATGAGTTAGTATATACTTTCAGTGTGGTGTTATAGATCATATGAAACTCGATTCTAGTGAAACATCTGCTATTCAAACATTAGAATCAGCTTTTGAATTAGCTGATATTGTTATTTCAACTGGTGGCGTTTCTATGGGTGATAAGGTATGAAGAGAAAAATAAAAGCCGATCGTTTTTCATCCATAATTCATATAGGATCTTATTAAATCCATATTAACAAATAGATTTAATGCGACAATTCATTTTGGTCGTCTACAAATGAAACCTGGCAAGCCGACTACTTTCGCTACATGTGAAGTCAATGGAAAGAAAAAACTATTCTTTGGATTACCAGGTGATTATAGGACAAAGAAAAACAAGAGGTATTCTCATAGGAATTTTGTTTTCTCATGTTTACAGGTAACCCCGTATCAGCTTTAGTTTCGTATTGGTTACTTGTTGTTCCAACTCTTAAACATATGATGGGACATATAGAACCGCATCATCCAATCATTCGTGTGCAGGTATAAATACTTGCATTAATATATGAAATTTTTTATTTGATCATTTAGCTTAATCAACCCATTGACTATCTTGATCTACGACCTGAATATATCCGTGTCATTATTGAATGGTCAACAAAATCGTCCGTTCCCATAGCACGCATTGTTTCACCAGATAATCAATGTAGTTCACGTTTACTCAGTGCTCGACGTTGTACAGGTTTAGTACGTTTACCAAGCAAAACTGATGCTGATCCATCATTTTTTAATACTAAACAAGATGGTTATGGTCAACAAGTTGACTGTTTACTTTTATCATTGTAGCTGATCAAAACAAAAACATGAATTTCTTTTGTTCTCTGAATAATATCAGTCAATTTTTTAATGTTAATAAACTGTTGCTGTTTTCGAAAGAAATTTAAAATAAAAGAACGCAAGAAAAGACAGAAAAAATGTTTTTTGTTTTTGGACAAACAGTTGGATAGGTCTTAAGATCGAAATCCACCGACTAACAATGATAAATATGCTGATAGTGCATTTGCATTAAGCATGTTCATATTAACTAGATTGTTCGGATTTATTAAAGCATTATTATTCATATTATAACCATTCGAATTTATATTTGTATTCGAAAGTTTTAATCCAATTGGAAGACGTGATGTTGTTGGATATTTATTTGTATTAAAACACATAGAGGACAATCGTTGATTATTATTTGATAGTACTTTTAAGCTCATGGCTTTTTTAATATTTTCTTCGAATAAGATCGTACCTTTTGCTTTTGATAAATGTGTTGAATCTTCAAAACAACCACGAATATCATGTGAAATATTTGCATGAGAAATGACGAAAACTTTCAATTCAGGTGATGCCATAGCTGAAAAATGAATGGAAAAAAAGAATAGAAACCAGATTAAACTATCTAACGAACCTTGTAATAAATAATTCAATTTTTCTGTTTTTATTCGACTTTCATCATTGGATTGCCGAGGAAAAATAAGTGAAATATAAACTTCTGATTGTGGACTAAACGTTTTGGTTGTTACAATTAATTCTTTGATTTGTTCACTAACTTCTTGTTCGCTTAATTTATCACGATTAAGATCATTTGCACCAACATGAAACATACTTAAATATTCCAACGTATTTATACATAAATAAAATCAATCAATTGCAGTAGACTTACATTTTCTTTGTGCCAATAAAACGAGTTGTTTGAATAAATTCGAGAGCTTGTGCCACACGTTTACCACGCTAGAAAGCAAAAATCATTGCCGGTGTTTCAAATAGCGACTTTCGATTCTTTTTCGTATTTCATCATACAGAGTCTGAGACCTCTACAGAGATAACATCAATTTACCATTGTTTTAATGTAAGTTTTTCTTTCGATATCAAATCGAGCTGGATCAAGATATTTCAATGTTGAATCACCAATTAGAACATTTTCAAATGTGAGCGTTCGTTCTGCTCGATATTTTAATGCATTGCTCATTGTTGATTGATTACAATCAAGATTTTTACTGGTTCGTCCATTTGAATTATTACTATCAATTACAATATGATTATTATTTTGAGCCATCGTATAGTTACATGTTGAACTATTCGATGATAAATCTAAAGGCAAGAGAGAGAGAGAGAGATATAGGGAAGAAAAGAACTCGTAGAACAGATCGTTCGTCTACTGAAATTGATTACCAATATTTTCATTATTTATTGTTGTTGATTTAGTATTATCGGTCGTTATTATTGAGTTGATTTTTGATGATGTCAATTGTTCTGTGATAGCTATTTCACTTAATCTTCGTTGAACATATTCACAAATTTTCGATTCCATTGTATTTTCAAGATTAAGTACTTCATAGATAAGAAGAGTTAATTGTTGTCGAAGTTTAGAACAATTTTCACATTGATTAGTATTATTTATTGTTGAATCGCCGCCTCCATGAGATTCACCACCTGTAACTGTACTTAATGGATCTTGAATGACATTTGCTAACGCAGCATGAACAGCTTGGCTAAGCGACGATGTACCTCCCAAATGGCATGACGATGGCGAAGGCAAGTCTGCAATCAGAGAGAATAAAAGACTCACATAGACAACTATTATAAAACTTTCGAATGTTCACTTTTGGCAGGTACTCATCTATGGATCATGTCATATATTCGCGATTGAGGCACTGATGTCTGCTATGATCAAAACGTTATTCAATTTAATATTTAGATAGATGGATTCTCTACATCCCGAATCTGAGAACATGTAATCTAAAAACAACAATGAAATCTGCATCCTGTATTTTTGTCTTACTAATATTCACACAAACAACGACTATCTAAGCAAGAATCTACTCGTTGTACCTCGATGTTCTGTTAAGAATTTTTTTGTTAAACTTGAATCAATTTGTTGATGATTTTCATTAATTATCGAATTAGTTGATTTCACGGTTGCAAACGCATTTTGATTTTGATTTAAATTATTATCTTCTGATGAATTAAGTATCGTAGACATAATCGTTCGAAAGAGATAAATATGAATAGAAGAGAATAATGTTTAATTGTGTATCGAATATTTACTTTTAATTTTCTAAGATAGATCGAGATAGACTCGCGTAGAACAGAATGAATTAGAGAATGTTTTTAACGCGCGATTTTTAATGAGTTTTATTTTACTATAAAAGAAAAACAGAACAACAACAACAGCAGCAACAACAATAACAATAATTATAATGAAGCTGACTTATTATGGCTGAAAAACTCGAGTGATTTTAAAGTTCGTTTTATTTTTTTAGGTTCATTATCAGAGAAAGATTTTCTAATAGGTATTTCATGCAGTCGACCATTCTGTGAAGGTCTATAGGATGGTATGGCTTCATAAGTAATAGCTTCATTCAAATATTTTTGTTGTCGTTTTGTTGTTGTTAATTTTGAAAATGACACTGTAGGTTGATGTGGTGCAAATTTTTGAATAAAGCAAAATGTTTGCTGAAATGTGTCACGAAATGCTTTTGACATAAGACAGTAAAGAATAAAATTAACCGAATTATTTATTAGAGCTAATATATCAAATGTATCACCTAAAAAACGAAAGAAAAAAAAGCAAACATCTTCATGTGAATAAAACAAAAATGTATTTCTACCGAGGTGTTGATAAATTTGAAAATAATAATTTGAATTATGTTTTGATAGAAACGTTAAAAATAATATTGCACCTTGTGGCAATTCGGTAACAAGAAATAGAGCACAAACAATAACTAGCATTAGCGTTGTACGGCGATTTTCTTTCTCGCGTTTTCGACCATGTAAACGTCCTTTACGCTTTTCTTTACTAATATTTGCTGTTGAAGTTCTATGTACATGTTGCGATTGTTTTAATGCACTACGCAATTGTTGTACTAATAGAAAACTGAATAGAAGTAGTAGCATACACGGAATTAATTTAAATATGACGCCATGTAATACGAATACTTTATCGCGTAACGCTAATGATTTACTAAATGCTGTTTGGTCAAAACGATAAATGATGATTTTATCGGATTTATTTGATGCTATCTGTGTATTATTAACATAGTAATGAACGATTTGATGTTCCAAATAAGATGGAACACAGAGAATAGTTGATAATAGAACAACTACGGCGACCCCAATTAAGGCACGATCAGGTGACGATACATAAGCTGTTAGAGCTTTACAATTTAGAAATACATAACGAAAAGCAGCAAGATACACGGTTAACCTAAATAGAAAAATAATAAATGAATCTATTTGCTTATTATGTTACAACTAATCAAGTGTTGGAACCTAAGAAATACATGCACCCGCAAGATACGCCTTTGCACAACATAAATGCGGGTGTTTAAAAGAGTCAACTATTGTTCTATTTTCAAATTAAGTAATGTTTTATTGCTAAAAAAACGCCCAAAGGCACGCCATCAATATTGCTAAACGTATTAGTAACTTCTTCGACAATGGAGCATATGTATTCGTGCTATCTGTACATAAGGAACTAATGGATTTAATTCTCATTTGAGAAAAAGCAGACGCTACATAGCAGATAGAATCCCTAGTATTGATTAGAAAGTTTATTGTTTATTGTAGATCAAGTTAATTTCTTACGTGACATAAATAATCAAATATAGCACAGGAAACTAAAATCGTTTGCTTGAAAGCACGCACATAATACCATAGCAAAAATTTGCATGTTGATAAAGATTTATTTGTGTAAAAGTTTCCGTAAATATCACCTTAGTAAAAATGTGGTCATAATATTAATGCACTTAGAAACAACTTTGATCTTCACATGTTACTCAAATATTTGTCGGAAATTCGCACGAGTATTTTATTTGATTTATTATTCTTTTTTAAATGATACGCAATATAGATGCACAAAGAAAGCTGTATTTTCAACGTAAAAGAGATTTTCATGAAACTTTTCACCAGAAATAGACTCATTTGTTCGATCATTTGCGTTTGACTAGGTATCATTATGAATGAAAAGTAATTTGGATGTAAAAGCTTTTCATTATAATTTTGCACGATTAAATGAAAAAGAATATATACGAAGGATTTCCTTGTTTTATTATGTTTGCTCAAATTAATTTGATGAAAATATGTAGGACCGACAAACGCGTAACTATCTCGTGCTGTATTTTGTTCCTTTCAAATAGTATTTTTTCTAAAAACAGAATATCTACAGATTGTACCTAATTCTTTAAGTCTACAAGTCATAACTCCATCATTTGGAAAGATTTAATTGGTGGACTTGTTGAAAAACTTCAAAGTTAATTCTATATTTATATTTTCTGAAAAATATATATTCTAGATAATTGATGTGCTTGTGAATCTTACCATGTACTAATACAATGTAAGGTTAATGTAAATAACATTTGTATCATGTAAAATTTAACTTGAACATAAGATGTTGGATCGGGTTCACTTTTCATGTCATCCTTTGGTAAACAATAGAAAAGAATAACTGCTGGTAAAACAAATAACATTTTAAGTAGATCCGATAGAGCTAATGACGTTAAAATAGTATTCGTTGAAGACCGCATTAACGGACGAGTTAAAACAATAATATTAAATAAATTACATGTCAAACCAAATATACATACAGCACTCGATATAAAACCATGATAATTTCGATATAGCAGTCTATAGCGAATAAGTGAATTCGTATGAAAAACATCATCAGTTTGAGGACTATCATTCATGTTTGATGATGCAAGCATTTCCGATATATTATATATCATTCTATGAATAGCAGTTGAAGTTGAATCTATATTTGATTGATTTTCTGATATTAATGATAACGGAGTTGGCGATGAACTAGGCGACATGACGATCAAAATTGAATCAATCAATAGCGCTAAAATACATATACATATTTAGGATAATAGTTTTCATCTATCTATTCGTGAACGAAGAAAAGGTATCTACATATAACTGTGTGTATATATATATATATATATAGATGGTTGCATTTCTGAGAAAGGGCATAATACAATCGCGGTTCAATTATAGTGTAGAAACTGTTAATCAGTTTTTTTTTCTCTGATACATTCTTTTGCTTTATCTTTCTCTTGCCGTGCTACTACTATTTTCCCATGGCGCAACATAACTTTGATCGACAGAAGTAATGTGAAGTAGAGCATTATTAGCATACAACGGGAGAAAGTTTTTCTGGTTATGTGTCCCTCTCATACATTGTTTATAGTAGACTTAACATTCTTTGACAGATCACATTTATAAGCTACTATAAACAACCTCGGTAATATAATCACTTTTTATGCAGAAAGGAAGAAGTTGTTCTATATATGATAGGAAAATAATTAAAAAAACATAGATCCGTGTAATTTTCTTCAATTGTCAATTTAGGAACTAAGCCAAATGAATGCAGTCATAGCCGATTGTAATAAAACAATATATTAGTGTAGGATCATGAATCTATCATTGATAATGACAAGTTTCACTGAACAGGAAAAAACAAAAACCAGCAATAAGTCATGTAAAATGATTAGTGACGAGACATCGTCGTAAATGCTATCGACAAAATATACTCGTTCTTAGAAAGCAAAATCAACTTTACTCTCCTTTATTTAACATATATGCTTTCATTGTAATTAAACTGTAAAGCACTATAAAGAATGTGAGCAAGGTCAAAATGAGAGCACTGCAAACTTATATTCATATATTAGTAGTATATTATCATGTTTGTAATCGTCCATGAGAAGAATATGTAAGCTTCTTGGCAAAATAAGGCACATTCTTAGCATAAATCGCTGACACCCACAAAGTTTCGATAGTTTATAAATGAATACTCACGTGGAAGAAACGCATCCTCCATCAATCAAATTATTAATTTCAATGCATCAAAAAGACACTAAATTATTATTTATGATGTTGACGAATAGCCAAACAGCAGCACTTGAAAACTAAATACATTTGTTCATCGACTCGTTATTGCTGAACCAAAAATGAGAACACTCGGGAAATAAACATACTGTTGACAATGATGTCAAGAGAGCTAGTCTATTTAAAAGCAAAGTGTCACGCTTTTTCTCTTTATTTTCCGTCCATTCTCATGGAGAAAAAAGAAGATAAACGCGGAGAAAGTCTGTCGTGTAGTACAATGATATGGAGATAGTAGTCATTACTTGAAGACAAAAGAAAAGAAGAAATAATAATACATTAATTTTTCTAAATTGAAATTACCAATCAATCGAACCAATTAAGAAGCAATTGAATTGATTAAAAAAAATATATATATATCGCACAGTAGAATGACACAGAGACCAAATATAAAAGCTAAGATTTTCTTTTATACATAATGATACATTCATAGAATTAAATGAGCCGCATTGTCGCATCGACGCATTTAAGAGACAAACAAAAGATTTCTCAGTCTACGGGTTTTCATTTCTACTGTCGGGAAGCTCCTCTTTTTCTTAGGCTTCTTTTTTCCCTCCGATTGAGAATATATTCATGTCCTACTGATAAACACTGGATGATATGGTGCACAAAAGAAAACTTCACTCTGCCATTCAACATATGCAAATCGAACAGAAGATGACTATGGCCCCATTCACACTGAAAAAAATTAAAAAAATTAAGCAACGCGATTGGTTAATTCACACTTAAGTCATCTTTTTGAGACGACTTAGCGGTTGATTCTGTTTTATCTTTTTGGTGTGAATGGGGCCTGTGAAGCATGGTTAAATAAACAAGAAAAAAATGCATTAGCAATACTAAACAAAACAGTTGCTCTTCTTTTGATCTATATAATTCCAAAGCTAACTAATCTACTTGAGCGAAGGACAAAAATACTTTTTTGTTATCATTAGTTTAAACTAATTCTTTTTACTTATTTCGCACAAGCAATTCTGATCGTCTGAATTGAATGATCTCAGTGAGATCATCTCACTATAAATAAATACTATATTTTCAAGACTTCAGGCAGCTATGAACTGAAGAGATTCTTCAATCTAAGTCGGAAATTTCAATGTGACATTAAAATATTTATTTTATGCTTCTTACTTTTTCAAGAACAATAAAAACAAAAGTGAATTCATTTTCATAATATTATGTTTCAAAGTAATTCCTCAGTAAATGCAATCTATTGTGCAGCTCAACTGTTGCAAACAATCATAAATTTTGAATTATCTGATCTCCTTTTATATACATTTATTTTTGACCAGCGGCGTAAATAGGGGAGTGGGCGCGACGCCCCCGCTGCTTTTGAAACTTCGCACGGTGCGCCCTGCTTCAAAACATTTTTCTAAGAATCGTAAAAATATAACCAAAATCTGTATTGCGCTCGCCCTTCTGCTTTTGACATTATCTTGATCGTAGAAGTGACAACAATTGCTTTCAGTATAATTGCAACGAAGAAAATAACCGTGAGTAATAAGAGATTATTTAAATTAATGGAAAATATTTGCTGCTTTCAAATTTATAGTAATGTTTTTCAAAAATTACGCTTTTGCATACTATGTGTACGTATCGGAAGTTAAGCTGCTATAAAGTTTCTTATGTTGTACGGTTCTCCTGTGAAAAGGTTTTTCTTCGTGACTCTCATATTTCAAAACAGTACGATTATACTGTTTTATTGATGTAATTTCACCATCAACTATTCTAGGTGTTTGCGTATGCATGATTAATTAGAGCATACTTAAGTTAAAATGCAAAAACGCTATGATTTTTTGTATATATAAATACAATAAACATTTGATTAGGATTTGCAATCTTTTTCAGTATCAAAATAATTCATGCGATGTGTAAATTTTTCATACTTAAATGCTTCTAATTTATTTGTTCCTGGCTGCGTTCAATTGCTTTTTTTTCTCTATACTAATATAAATAGAACTTACTGGTTCAAAAATAGTATAGATTTATGCATTAAAATTTAATAACAAATAAATAATATGAATGCTGTATGTACTGCATAGATAAGATGTCTTCAAATGTGTAGGAAATCAATAAATCGGTACGATGTAAAAACCTCTAGAACATAGAACGAAAGAGAAAACATAAAATTCTGTTGAGAAAAAGGCCACAATTACTTTGTCTCACTACTAAATTTTAATAAAACATTGTTTCATCAATTCATATAGAGAAAAAGGAAATAATAATATGCGATTAAGAATATATTTAGAACTTCGATCAGAAGCCTTTACTTACTTTATAGATATTCCACAATAACAATTTATATTAAAAAAAAAAAAAGATCATAAAATTTTATAATTTATTAGCATGTGAGCAATATTGTTATTTTTTTATATTAATGACCTAGTACTTCGTGTCAAATTCAACCAGATCTATCATTATTAACTATGCTTCTTTCAGTATCAATAACGTTAGCAAAATATTGATTAACTGATTTTGACAAGTCCACTCTTTTTTTTTGTATATTTACACTATTTCCTTATTTTTCTCGTTCTTTCTGTTTCTCCTACAATTTTTGCCTATCGTCACCTGTCTTCCAAAGTTCCTGACTTCATTTCTCTTTCTCTTCTCTTTTGCTAGTTTAAAAAAAGACAAAATATATTTTCCACAAGTTTCTCCTGCTTATCAATCATATAGTGAAACGGATATTTTTCACTTACAATTGTACCTCGTCATTCTTTATAAGAAAAAAATCTTTTGACTGAAAATAGTAATAATAAAAAACAAATAAACGAAGATTTATTGAATTAATCGCAAAAAGTTGAAAGAACTAAGATAGTTCAAATCAAATAAATTCCTCTCCGTTCGGATGTGAAAATTAATTTATGCGGACTAAAATTAGTAACATATACACATCGTCTAGCATTGCATCAGCGATACAAACTAAGAATACGATGATTGTTCATTCAACTACAAATAAGCAAACATCAATTACTATGTATTAGTATTAAACGCTATGATTTTTGTAGCTTCTCATTCGTGCATATTGTTCTGATTTTCTTGAAAATACCAACACCCACCAGCGAGAGAGAGAAAGAGAGAGAGAGAGAGAGAGAAGCTAAATAGAACGTGCCATTTCTCATTCTTTACAATTCTTCTATGCCTATTTTTATTTTACTCGATTTTAAAAATCTACTTGCTTAATCCCTAATTCCATATACTCGATGTTTAGTAATTGTTGCTTGAAATTATGCAATGAAGCGATTCTGTACTGTAAAGATTATAAAATAACACACACACTAGATAAGTCAAATGGTACAATGTTGATTACATAAAATTGCTTGCACTAATATGAGCTTCTGTTTATTTTTCTGGTCAAAGAAAATCCAATTTAATACTTTTTAGGACATTGATTTCTTTGTTGCATGTTCTATGATTTTTATAAGGAAATGCCTAAAAAATGTAGTAGGTAGAAAGAGGCTTTGGCCTTATGCTTAAGAGAAAGAAAAGAGGGAGATTGCTCGAGGACACAGCTCAAATAAATACCATACTACAAAAAAAGAGATTACTAGGATACAAGGAATTTTTGTTTATGAAAGAAAAACAGAACCTAACACAGGAAAACACGTGTTTAGAATATTTACATGTTTGTTGATTTTATTCTAGACATTTAACAACTATAATATATTAGTGACGTGAAATATCTCTTTATTCAAGTTCCGGTTTAATATAGACCTCAGAATAATAACTTTTTTTTTAATATAAAATTATTTTTTGGAGTATTTCTGAATATCATCAATGGATTAAAGTGGATCGACTCTCATCCTTGACATATACAGTCGAGATTAAGTGAGAACACACTGATTTCCATGATTTCTTTGATCTCTTATGATTTCCAGTGATTTCTTTGATCTCTTATGATTTCCAGTGATTTCTATGCCTGAAAATCAGTGTGTTCCGCCTTGGTCTACATAGTTGTAAAAGTAAATCTATTTTCTTGTCATTTAATTCCGACTTCATTTTTAGTTTTCTAAATTTAAATAAAGTTGCTGAATTTCATAAAGAATAGAAAGTGCACACTTCCACTAAGAACAATCAAAATAAGTTACTACATATTGAACTAAAGAGCAAAAAAGAATACTTTCAGCCAGCAACACTTGCATTCTGTTTGATTTCTTACACATAAGCGATGTGACTTGAAGTCAAATTATTGCTCGAGTTTTGGCTGTTTCTTTTTAGGAGATATAAATTATTTCTTATATTCACATGAACGTCTACGATTCACCAAGTCATGCAAATGTCAAAATGATGAGAGTTAAAATAGATTGTGGTACGGTTGGATGAGTATAGAAACGATAAATTATAACTCAATTAAAAGATTAATCTAATTATGAACACTATTTTAAGCGTGCTATGAGACGATTAGAATTATTTCATATTTCAAGACCGAATTCACGAATATCTAGTCTTATTAAGTTTGCAAGAAAATATCCGCAAAAAACTTATTCCATAAATATTGATAATTACATATGTTTACGTTTAATAAACTTTGAAAGAATATATAGTCAGCATAATCAAATTATCAATACCTGTTTTTCTTGTGAAATAAGATATAAAAAGAGCGTTGAGTTATAAGAGTAAATATTTGATTCGAACGGCAGACCATCAAATATTGTATGCTAATTAAATCTCATCATCATCATATATAAACCGCTTTGCTCTGACAATTTCGAAGAATTAAATAACAGAACGATGAGAGAAATAAAGGCTATTTCAAAATAAATTGAATGAAATCATCATCTCGTTATGATTGTCAAGAGCTGCTGCATTAGGTTTTGCATTTTGAATTCCACATGGATTGCGCTAATAAGTTTCCTGTAAAAACAAATTCGGCGTATTTCCTGTTTGTTAGCTTAATAATTAAATTAGCTTGTTTATTTTCGACATTTTAAATTATGATCCTGCTATTAGAAACAATTGAAATAAAGAAAAACAAGAAAACTTTAACTGGCTTTACTATGCCGATAACTGTAAAAACAATATATAAAAAGAGACAGAAAAATAATACAAGCATACGCAAACCAATCATGAGCATCTTGAAAGACCATAAGAACAATAAAAATGTTTATATTAATCAGTGGTACTATGGGAATCCCTGGACATGTAAATAGAAGTTTTCCTATTTGCTTCTTAGGATGCAATAAACAAAAAACAAATATTATCATTACATTAACCAATAGACATATTACGATAATTACTATATGTAATAAACGATTTCGATTCAATATGTGAATAGTCATAATAGATAAAACACTTGTACTCAGAATAAATATGAGAAGCAATACAATTGCAGTGCGTTTTGGAGACAAATACGAATCTATTAATGGAATGCATGGCCCGCAAAGTGAACGAGTTACTCGAGTTAAAAATGGATCTTGTTCTACTATGTCATTTAATTCAATATCTTCATTGTCATCTTTATCGTTATTCAATTCATGCATTTGTTCTTCTTCGACATTTTCTTCTTGAGTTAATAGGATTCTGTAGGGCATATGATGATCATATCGTTCAATGAGTAAACCCATGGACACACCAGTATAACTGAGAAGAGCAGAAATATCAGCAAAACCAATCAAATCCTTTAACATAGACAAAAAAAACAAATTCATCTAATATTATTGAGTTGATTTTAATTTCTCGTACTTTGATATCAAAAAATGTCGCAAGAAGTGCAATAATGAAACAAGCTGAACATGTTGCAATAACTGGAACATGTCGCCCTTCATTCACATAACTTAATTTTGATGGCAATAATCCATCTGTCGACATGGCATAACTGTAAATGAAAATTTAATTAGGAAGTCAAGAGGTCACGCCAACACTAGTGGAATGAAAACTTTTCGTTGACGTCAAAATAAAGTCTAATTTTGCATTATATAGTGCATACTGATTAGTTTTCTCGGGTAGATAGAATACTTTTACTCTAGCAGCGCGCATGCACGGATGTCATCTGCGACATGAAGGCTTTCATATTTGAAGGTACTCGTGTTTATCAACTAGAGAGTATGCAGAACTTTTTGTGTAACATAAAATAGCTGAACTGCATAAAATATGCATTTTATACGAATCGAATTGAATTCGAAGCGTAAAAACTACTATTACAATTAACATACGACAAATGATCTGTTCTTTGCCAAACGGGATTTTATCCCAGGCGAATTGTGGAAACTCATTTGATTCTGAAAATCTATCAAAGATCCTAACATTTTTTATTAATCAAAATAATAAGACAAGCTCATACACAATTCCTCCCCTTATCATCATCTACTATTAGCCTCAGATAATTCTCTTAACTGAATAATGACGGATTTTGACATATAAATAATAACTGACTGATGCAACTTGACTAAAAGCGGCGTTATTTATTTAAGGTTATCGCATGAGTCTGAGCCACGATTATCTTGACAGAAGTCAGTGTCAGTTTATTACAGTTTGTTGCAAACAACAAAAACATGTCGCGTCAATAGAAATTCCCTGGTAATATTCTGGATAGAACAGTATTATTTAAGTTAATTAGATTTTAATCTAACTTGAAATGTTTTGGCTCTTCATACGAAAAATACTCCTTACATAATACGAATGCATCCGTAGGTACCCGACAACAGATTTCCACCAGCACTAAATACAATAGCTATTGAAATAATATAGCTCGCCCATGGCCATTTAGATAAGCTATACGCATGCGCAAATGATGATTCACTGTTAATATCTTTATATGGAATAAGATATGTTAATGATGCTCCAGCTAATGAATAGAGTGATGTAACAATAAGAAGTGATATCACAGTCGCTTGTGGAACTATTTTGGATGGATTTTTTGCTTCTTCAATAGCTATAGTTGCCATTTCAAAGCCAATATATGAATAAAGTAATAGAGAACTACCACGAAAAATACTCGATACTCCATAGGGAATAAATGGTTGATAATTATGTGCATTGCCAAGAACGAATCCAGTGACACCAATAAAAAACAGAGCAGACATATTAACAACAGTTAAACTATTTGTTAAATATTTTGAATTTTTTAAACCAGCAAGCATAGCGAAGATAACAATCATAGTTATGCCAAAAGCTAATAGATCAGGATATTTAGAAAATGGCGCTTGAGCATCAGGCCAATGAATTATATGCTCAGTAATAAAAGAATGAATGGTGTTATTAAATAATGCATCAAAATATGCCGACCATACTCGAGCACTAACACCTAAACTTGTCAATCCTCCAACGATCGATGTAAATCCCTTATAAACATAATAACTCAGTTGTTGAAATCTTTCTTAGAGTACATTTAAAAAAAATGAAGTTTACCACAAGAAATGCAACTATTTCACCAATTGATTCATAAATAAATATATACGATGAGCCAGCTCGTGGAATCCGAGCAGCAAATTCAGCATAACAAAGAGCACCTATGAAAAACAATTAGCAAAGCATTCACTTTTATATCAGTATTTCAGTTTACCAAGTAGACAAGCACAACCGGCTAATAGATTAGAAATAATAATGGCAGGCCCAGTCAGATCTTTGGCAACAACTCCAGTCAAAACATAAATACCCGAACCAATCATTCCACTTACCGACAGAAGTATCAGATCGAATAGATTTAAGCATCGTAAAAGTGGAGTCTTTAAATCATTTGTAAAAGCATTTTTTTTACGAAATAAATTTTGAAAAAGCATTTTTATAGTTATCTAAAATACGCTTGAATTAGCTGTTTTAGTACATGGAACAATGATTCAAAATCGATTTGTACGCTTTTATGCTGTTAACAGAAGGCAATAGTTAATAAATCATATTAGCAAGTAAGGGGGGGCGCCCGC